TAGGGCATGCGGGTGTCTGGGACACGCGGTCGTGCGGCGCGGGTCTCCTGGTCGTGCAAGAAAAGGCGCGCGCGTTTTCGATCGTGTGCTGGGAGCGAGGCAGCAGACCTTGGTCAATAGTCAGGCACGAGCAGGCAGGCGGCATGGGACTTCGCGGCTAGGATCTGGCACGGCGCTGGGCTGCGCGCGGTTGCGGGCGGGGCTCGCGATCGGCTCTCGGCTGGGCTCGGGCGGATCTCGGTAGCGATTTTCCGGTGATGTCGACGGCAGCTGTCCGCTGAGGAAGATGACCGGAAAATATATAGCTTTAAGGTTTGATAAATATCACCTTAAAGTCTTCTAATGAATTACCTAAACACCTACTTCAATTAATCTTGGTGGTGCGATTAATTGAATCTCTCAAACTCTCGAACAAGACAATTTATCCTCTCTTGTGAAGTAGAAAAATCGGCCCTATCAATGTATGTACAAGAGGTTGCACATGGTGTATTTATAGGCTCCATTAGGGACCTTAAGAAGGTGCCAATATGGGCTTATCCCAGTAGGCTAAGGAATCCTAATTCCACTCCATATAATAATCCAACTAGGTCATGATTCCTTTCTTCTAACATCACCTTCTAAAAGACTTTTAAGTCTCCTAACCCTAGGTACTAAATATGGAATAAAATTAATTCCTAAAATCCTAATAAAATAAAATAATAATATATCCCACTAGAATATTATTATTGCTCTTGCCATTTGGCTCCAATTTAATCAATTAAATAAAACTTCTGAATTATTAAATAAATTAATTAATTAATCCGATTGACCGAATTACCTCCCTATGTTTATGATATAACATCCGTCAATTAATTTAATTACTGACAATTAAATTAAATTGACTTCTTTCATTTATGAAATTAGTACCACTCAGTCATTAATCATTATGCCGAATAATTATCCACCTACAAGGTTTGACATAATATTCCTTCCTGAGCTCATTTCGGGGACGTCATCAACCCAGCGCACTGGGACATAGTGACTGTAAATAATTTCTAATGGCACACTATATAAATATTCTTACTTACCAAAATAGCGAGTATGTCATCCTAACAGAAAAGGAATCACCCTTGCTAAATCAAATAAATAAGTAATAAATATATATGCTCATTTTATATTATCTTACAGCTTAAGAGAACGCATCAATCACTGAAGGTCTAGATTATAACAACGATCAATAAATCTTATAATCTTATCCTTCCGCGGTCCATTCAATACTTATCATAAGTACTAGTGTAATCCATCAGTTAAAGATCAACTGAAGCAAGACTACACTACAATCTTTTTCCAACAAGGGTCTCACTGCTTGTCTAAACTGTGAACACTAAATTTATATTTTACAAGGAACCGATAGTATGATCTTTCTGATCGACACGACGAACCATATTATCTACAGTGTAAAATAATGGAGTTATGATTGCATATATAAATAAACTGCAAACATAAATATTTTGACTAAAACACGATTGCCAGATCAAAATGGTATTATTAATATCTGAAAGCCAATCTTTTATAGCATATCTAACAGATGTCTCGCCCAACTAGGCACTCGTCAGGATGACGGCGTCGGCAAGTGGGGCAAACGGGTAGTCTGTTTGGTTCTTGCGGTGATGGTTGCTCTGTCCGAGCTCAGTTCCTCTGTCAGGTCCTCTTATCGGCCTGCTCCCTCTTCCTTCCTCTTGATCCCCCAGTTGGAGCAGCGGTTGTCTGTGCTGCTGACTGGAACGTCAGCGGTGGTGCTGGCTGCTGGTTCTGGGGTACAACGATTTGCTACATTCGACGGATAGTCTCGACCGTCGTTCTGGTACCGTGGTTTGTCACCACATGTCTGATCTCTTCTCGGACGCCATTTCCTTCGAACTTGTGAACCCTCCCGTCCACGACGGAGGGTCCCATCTGATCTGGGTAAACTGGTGAATGGAAACTTCATGAATGCGTCATCGAAGAGGCCTCGGTCAATCCTGGCATAGGCTGGCTGTATATCTGCCATTTCTGGAACAAAACATTAAAAGGGTTAGAACTTATTCAAACTCAATTCTAAAGTTCAAAACCTGATATTGTGGTTCTAATGCATCGCAATGGTTATCACCGATACGTATTAGAAGGTACTTTTCCACAACCTAAATTGAGACTACTTCTAGAGTTATATCTCGCTCAAAGCATAATTTTGGTTCCAAACTTAATCTAGAGTTTTGGACTTAACTTTTCTAGAGTTCTGTCTAGAGTGTTGACTAGAGTTCTCAATTCCTATGGGAGGATAGATCCTACGCCCCTTAGATTTCTCGTACTATATAGATCATGCATTTGCAGTAATAGAGACTTGTTAGGTGACCTACCTCAGAGTCGGCGCGGCGTGAGCGTGGTGTGGTCAATCTCTTTCTAGACTTAGGTAACAGAACCACTCGCTGGCTCTGATACCAAAATGTAACACCCCGCCTACTATTACTAGAAATCAGAGTAAATTTTTTGCGCTTTATTATAAATTTGGAAACACTGATTTAATTTTCAAAAACTCGTATTAACTTTTAGAAAATACTTTTCTTACTGCAAGATGCTGCTCAACATAATCTGATCTCTTTCTTTTTTTTTGATTGTTAAATGTAAATATATATATCAAAACTGAGTTCAGACAACCGATGAACGGCATACAAGAGCGTAATGGCCAACCACATGTCGGTTTCTCATTCGCATTATAACGAAATACGAGGCCAAACACAAGTCAGTTGGTCACTTGAAGTCTCGACAAAAAGTTAACGAAGTAGTCCCAGGGGATCGGGAGCTCGTCATGTTCTTCACATCGGACATTTATAGCAATTGGCACGGTCCGTGCACCTTATCACGCGCTGGAATCAAGAAGTCTTGAAGCCATTAGCGCGCGCAAAAAGTCGTGGCTAGCGCCGCTAGGCTTAGCTAGCGGCGCTAAGGGTGACGTGGCGTAGCGGCGTTACCCGGTGATTGCGGTGCTAGGGACAAAGGTGCAATAGGCTCTGGAGCCCGCTAGGTACCGTAGCGGCGCTACGCAATCGATGCTAGCGGCGCAGCTAACACTAGCAGCGCTAGTACTTGGGGGCCTTGTTTTCTCGTCTTCATGAATCAAGGTTAGCGGTGCTAGGGTAATGTTAGCGGCACTAGGGTCAAAAGTCCCTTAGACTCTGAAGCCCGCTAGGTATTGTAGCGGCGCTAGACAATCGATGCTAGCGGCGCTAGCTTATACTAGAGGCGCTAGTACCTGGAGGCCATGTATTCTCGACTTTATTAATCTCGGTTAGCGGCGCTAAGGCAATGTTAGCGGCGCTACCCACCCTTAGCGCCGCTAGTACCTGGAACACCAAGAAAATTGTATCTTTTCCACTAGAAACTCATCTTATCGGGTGATCGTCAACCCTTCAACATCAATACTCAAATCCAACCCAAGGCAAACTTATAGTCCAAGGCTCCGCCTCTCAAACTCAGCAAGCACATTAGGATAGAGAGCTAATATAGTGCGATATACATGTGTTTTTAGTTTTCGGATAACAAGGTTCGTACCTTGGTATTCATTTTCAAACACCAGTCGATTTCTTGCCTTCCAAATAAAGTACACACTAGCCGCGAGTGCCGCTTTCTTCAGCTTGGTTTGCCAACCACTTCCTTTTGCCTCCTTCTTGGTCCATTTGAGGACACCTTTTAGAGTAGACGGTCTATGTCGGAGGCCAATCCAATTACGAATCTCATTCCAAATCTCCGAGCCAAATGAATACAAAAAAAAAAAAAAAAAAAAAAAAAAAAAAAAAAAAAAAATAGGTGACTTGACGATTCATTCTCAAGACCACAAAGAGGACATGTCGGATCTTCGTCGAGGAAGTCGAGTCGATCTCTTGTCTTGAGTCGATTGTGCACCGCTAACCAAAGGATGAAGGAATGCTTAGGAGTATTACACGGACCCCAAATAACCCCATTCCATGGCACAATGGGTCGTTTATGTCTTAGGAAGTCATAGCTCTTGCTAGTCCCTTCTTGGCCTTCACGAGCTTTCCATCTTTGAAGAAGGGCTTCCGCTCCCCGGACACTTCCCGTCTTTTCCACCAAACTTTGCCGGATGTCAAAGAGGGTTTTGAAGAGAGGTGAGTCCTTTGGTCTAATTTTCCAATCCCAGATGGATTTCCCCTCTAAGTAGATATTGTGGATCCATTTGTGCCAAAAGGTGTCCTTCTTTGCTTGCATGTTCCAAGGTGTCCTGGTGAGCAACGCTTGGTTCCACGCATTTAGGACCCTTAGCCCTAAACCACCTTCTAACCATGGCAAGCATACACTTTCCCAAGCCACGGGAGCACTCTTTGAACCCCAAAGGAACATTCGACATAGTTGGGTGATTTTTGTTCGAACTATGCCAGGCAAGTGGAAGATCCCCATCCAAAAACACACAATGCCTTGTATTACCGAGCGAAGGAGTTCCAGTCTCCCGGCATAGGAAAGTGTGTGCCCATTCCACCTACTAAGTTGCCCCTCTATTTGTTTAATCATTTCCTCAAAGAGCCTTCCGGTGATTCGTTCTGCAGACAGAGGAATACCTAGGTAACGAAAAGGCATTGGCCCATGTCTCAAGTTGGTGTTATCAATGATTGAATCACGAATATCAACCTTGACCCCAGCCAGATAAATGTTGGACTTCAGCACATTCATTCCAAGTCCCGATTTAGCTTCAAAGTCCTTGAGACAATCCATGAGAATTTGAATTGACGTAGGGTCTCCACGAGATAGAAGCATGAGGTCATCGGCGAAGGCAATGTGGGAGATTTTTAAATCTTCACACATCGGATGGTAGTTGATGTTCGTGCCAGTCGCCGTGTTGCACTTTATGAACCAAGTGAGGTACTCTATACAGATCACGAAAAGGAAGGGTGATAAGGGGTCCCCTTGTCTTAAACCACGGGCTCCTTTGACGTGGCCTTTGAGGCACCCATTAAAAAATAGCGAATATGATGGAGTAGTAACGCACTCCATGACCCACCTAGTAAAGACCTGAGGGAAGCCAAGGCCATCGATCATTTTTTTCAAGAACGACCAAGAAATTGAGTCGAACGCTTTTCGGAGGTCGATTTTGATAATACACCTCGGGGAGACCCGTTTCCTCAAGTAGAGACGGAGCAATTGCTGCATGAGGTGGATATTATCTGTAATGCTCCTCCCTTTCACAAAGGCGGCTTAGGCCTCATCAATGATAGTGCCTAGGACTCTTCTAAGTCGATTAGCTAGGAT